TTATATTTTCTTTCATGTCACTAGTGTTTAAGCTGTATAGTAGGTCTTCAAAGCTACCACATGGAAAATAATGACTTAAGTATAATTAGTATATACAAAAGAAAAACAAAACAAAACAGCAACAACAACAACAAAAAACCCTAGGGCTTAAAATGACAAATTCAGTGAAAACAGCTTATGTAAAACAACAAAATAAAACTAAGGTTGACATTATTAACCACAAAATAAAAAGCCACCACCGCAAGGCATTGGCCACTGCCTTCAGTGAAAGGCAGCGAAAGTACTACATGTATCCTAGGATGAGAAAGACCAAGATCTTACAGTTTATCACTTACAAATTCCTTATGCTGCATCCAATGGCTCTGTTAACGTGCCCACCCAGTGGGGGGAAATTTTTTTTTTTTAAATAGAAAAAGGTTTAACATTAGGTTTTTTTTTTTTTTTTGTATTTTAGGGAAGGGTCTACAGGGTGTTCAGGGTCTCACTACTAGATCAGACTCGTAGTGATCTGCCTGTTTACAGCCTCCCAAGACTTGGGATTACAGGCATGTGCCACCATGCCTGGGTGCAGTCTCAAGCGCCCTCTTAGCGCACCCTGGGGGCAGGGCCAGCATGGCAGGCTCAGGGACGGAACCTCTGGCCCCTGCGCCTGCTTGCAGGCACTTTAATCTGCTGAATGATTTGGCGAGCCCCTTAACATTAGGCTTAAAATATTAAACCTCTGGACAGGATGACTCTCTTGCCTTTAGCAGAACAGCAAAGATCTTTGTTTTATTCATTAATGTATTTATTGCAAGCACAGGGCAGGCAAGCAGTATGCACCTGAGGAGTAAGCGCTGCAGGACTTGAGGTTTTCTCTGTTAGAGCCAGGTATACATCAGATGTTGGATGGGAGAGAAAAGGAGCCAACTGTGGACTTCACTGCTTTGTAGTAAGGAGGTGTAAAGCAAGAGAACCTGTAAATGAAGGCGGAAGCGAAGTTTCAGTTTTACTTTTCAGTTGACTGTAGAGATACTGATCTGACTGTAAACATGAAACTACTTCCAGCCTGGTGCAGGAGGACAGAGCACTAAATACTAGAAACCATTCAAAGAAGAAATTCTGGTGAGCAGATCATCGAGCCAACAGGGGCCCTCACCCACAAAGGGAGACAAACATAAGCGGCGCTGCATTGTCTCCCTGGATGCCAGAACACTTGTGCAAAGCAACAGAAGTAAGATCTGAACACAAGGAAGGACAGTTCTGCAAAGGACTCTGTCTACCTGTGGAGGGAAGAAAAGGATCATTTTATAGAACAACCAAAAAGTCAATTATTTTCCAACCAGATGGCGTAGCCTAATAAATCCAAAGCAGAGATGCACATCAGCATGTCTTTGTGAAAGAAAGGACCACGAGGGAGTGAACAGTTAGAATCTCAGGGTTGCTGGTACCAGGAAAGTAAGATCTTTCATGAGTAGACCACTGTCCTTCTAGTAGGGTTTCATGAACTTAAAAGGTGGTATGAAATTAATGTACACTATCCTGCCTTGCTTGTCCCTATAAAAATTCCAATTTTTCCTTCTTCCAATTCTGGCTATGAGTTTTTTCCAAATAAAACATTAAAATCCTTCCTTTATAGCATGATAACACGCATAAATAGATAAACCTCCAAACATAGATAAACCCCCAAATTAATCCTTAGTAGAAAAATTTATGTGATGCTCAGTGTATACATTGGTACCTCAGTTCATGAACTTCTTTCTACGATTCTGTGCACAAACTGAACTGGCTGAGAACTGAATCAAATTCGATGATGGTTAGGGCTAATATTGATTCCATGGGGAAATTTGATTTGATTCTTATCCAAACTGTTTTGCTAACAGAATTATGGAAAGAGTTAAGTTTCTGAACTGAGGTAGCACTGTACACTGTATTTCCATGCTGTGGCTTAGACTTGGAATGTTCTGCCAAAGCACCAGAGGCAGGGTTTGTAGGAGGTGACTGGCTTATGGAGCCCCACAACTGACTTGCTGTTAGGAGGCAGGCCTTGTTTGAGGTCCTGGTCCCTCACTGGGGACATGACCTGGAAGGGGATGGCTCCCTTCCAGCTCCTTCCATCACTCTCTGTTGACATATTACGTATGTATTAATGAGAGACTGACACAGAAAGGAGAAAGGATGCAGACTACAAAACTTCAAACTTAAATCCTAATTGCTGTATGAAGTTTTTGACTAACAGAAAGATTGGGAAATCAACTCACACACAAAGATCTGAAGAGTATAGAAGTTGGAAAGATGGTTTTTCAAGTCAGCATGAAGGGCTGGGAGACTGTCCTGAGAAAATATATGACCTCCACTTTTTTTTTAACACATAAATTACAGATCCAACAACCATAAAAGCCCACAAAAAGGTAAACCTCAGAGAAGATAGCGATTCCCTATAAACCTTATGAACTGGGTATCAAACCAATGTATTTCATGCATATTGGCCTTGAGAAACGGTGGCACACTCGTGCTGGGCCTGGTGCCTGGGAACGCCTCTTCCTCTCTTTCCTACTGCATCCATGTGCTAGCCAGAGCTGTATCCCTTCCTGATGTTTCCTCAGACCCTAGCACAGATCGGAGTTCAAGAATGAAGAATGAAGGCCCTACCTGGTGGGTGGAAAGGCAGTTCACAGGCTATCCAGTCATCATTGTTAAATTAAGAAAACAAACTACCAAGTCTTTTGTTCCCTTGAGGCTGTTCTAGAAGAGGCATCCTTGACTGACCCCCCAACAGACCTGTCCCTAAAGAATTACAATCACCATCATCCTAGTGCTGCCCTCAAAATCTGTAGCCAACTTCCATTCTGACACTTCTTTAACTGCAATGTCCCATCAGTGAGTTGAGCTTTAGGAAGGAAGGAGAGAGAGTGTTACAGCGTGTGTCCCACCAAGAGGAGCATACACACAGTTCAACGGCCTTCAACTTTCTAGGAACAACTCTACTTAGAAACCAGTCACACCCACCACAGTATTTCCAACATTCTAACTTACATACCTAGCTGATGAGATAATTCTGTTGTTTCATTAGTGTTGGGAAGAGCTGTTTCCTCCCCAGAGAGTGACTTATTCTTTGTCTTATGCCAAAAAGCCATAAGAAAAATGCTGACCGATGGAGGTGACATAGAGAGAGAGCTTAATCAGTACTCTCAATTAAACTAGTACAAAATAAAGCACTTACTGGTGTACTCAGGCAGAACGTAACTCCCAGACACACCCACTGAGACAGCTGAAATTGCTGAGGAGTCTGGGTCCCAGCTGCGCACCAAGCGCAAATCCATGACATCAGATCCTGAGTTGCCCTAGAGAATCTTAGGTCAGGGCTGTCAGAACAAACTTGCCTGTGAGAGCAGATTTCCCAGGAGTCTTCCCAGCTTTTCAGTACACCACACTCCAAATAATAGAAGCCAGGATTAGCAGCGACAGATCACCTTCCCCACCTCTGATCACATTCTGCAGCACAGACCTGCCCAACTTCCAGAATTCCTAAAGTTGACTTCTCAAGGAATGGTCAAGGGTGAGTAGTCAAACCTGGGAAGGAGGGGCTGGCGGGAGCACTCAGCACAAGGTTTTCTCCTCTTTAGCTTGGCTCAGGCAAACGAAAACCTCTCAAGCACAAATGTTTATTTTTTTCCTAGTCTCTGCAGGCAGAGTAAAGCAAGCATAGCTGTCTGAAAAGCTTCTACACAGGGATAAGGGGCGTGTACGGGCTTCTTCTCACAACTTCCAAGCACCGAAGAGGTTGGGAAGTATTCCACCCTTGAGAAGGGCAGACTAATAGTTGTGAGTAAAGTCACCAGAGATCAGAGGTTCCTTAGTGTAGAAAATTCAATGAGTCTAATGGGCTTTCTAAAGTCTAGGGATTCACTAATATCTCTTCAACACCAAACCACCTGAAAGTGCTGACCAACTGTACCATAACCACATCTGTTTTTCTAGGTCTCTGGAAGTGTCTCTCCCATGTTTTAAACGCTTTAATGGATCCAGCCCTTCTCTCTGCTTTGGGGCTTATACTTGGTCATTTTTCACTAGCAGGAGTTCTTAACCACAGTGTGATTCTGCCAATGGCATTGGACAATATCTGAAGGCTGTTGTTAGGACTAGAATATAGGGGAAAGGGCTGCTACTAAAAATCCAGTAACGCAGGATTGAGAAGCCCTGCTGCCACCACATGAAACTCTTGGCCAGACTTTCTCATGCATTTTCAAGCCTGAACACAAGCTGCTCCCTTCACCTAGAGAGTCTTATCCCACCTTCTCTGTCCAGGAAATTAAGATGTACTTCCTTTCCAGGATCCAATCCTAAATGTCACCTCTTCTATCTTGCCCTTCCTAGGTCCCAGAATTAGATGTCACTTCGGTGTTTCCAGACGAAATGGGGGATGTGTTTCAGAGCACTGGCCACACTGACCCAGAATAGCCTGTCGCTTGTTGAAGACATCATTCGAGCCTTCTTTATCATTCTGTTCAGACTGCCTGTCTGATCATCGGACTCCCCACCAAATCAATCAGAGCCTAATTGGAAACATTTCAGAAGATCCTTAGACTCCTTGCAACTATGTCTGACGGACACATGTGTCCCCAAATAAAAAGCAACAGCAAATATTTATCAGATGCTTGTAATGTAGACAAGCACTGTATGAACTCATTCCATCCTTACTATCATCCATGAGGTCAGTGCCAATTTATTAGCATTTTACAGATGTGAAAACAGAAACTAAACCAGCAGTAGTCAAATCTTTCCAACATTCAGAGGACCCTGAAAAATACAAGTGATAATTTCAGAGGACTATACAATCACGGAGTTGCTACCAGCTCTTGAAAGCTCTTTTGAAAAAGAGGTTGTGCGGATCACAACTCTCCAACCACCAGAATGGTTCTGAGGATGAGAATCAGCCTCCTCACAGCATAGGAAAAGGAATATGCCCACCACAGTACCATAAGGAAAAAGCACAAGTGCTGATTCAAAGCACCTCTTACCTTGTTCATGCTGTAGGGATGGGAGTGAGGGACCAGGCATAGCACAATGTGAAGCAGTGCTGGAAGATTCTCCTTGTTCCTGGAGCCCTCACGTCCTGAAGCAGGCAGCTGCACTGTGAACACAGAGAAGAAATCCATCAGCTCACACTCTGGGGGCGAGGGGGTGTGCGCAGTTCCATGACATGGATCATTCTGCTATGATTGCAGTGTCTCTGCAGGCTAACTTGGTGGCCAAGGGGGAAGGGTGCGAGGGTGCGGCTAGGCCTACAACGGCACTGTTGGGGAATAGAGTAAGGCAGTGATGTGGGCACACACTGATGCTGTTCACATGTTAACTTCTTGCCCATTTTAAGAAGGTCAAAACTCAAACTAGAAAGGCACTACTACAAATGGAGGGCTGAATTTTTAATTTTATGTAATTTGAATTAGATTTAAATAGACAATGCAGTTAATGGCTACGACATCCAACAGTGAAGCTATGGAGGGTCACGTCAAGAGCCTTAAGGCATGCTACCGAGCATGCCAGTGGCCAAGGAAAGGCATTAAACGCTTAGAGTGATTGGAGATTCACAGGGACATTAAGCATTGATTGAGTTACTAATTTTGGAGCACTTACCAAAAGTGGGCTGGATACTGAGGCTTTAGTGCTCAGTAGGCTACAGAGGCCCATGATTCAGGCTGTGATCTCCTTGCAAGAGGAAAGAAACTATTGCATCAGCAGCATCGCTGGGTACCACATCCGAGGGCCTTTCCCTGATGCCCATGAGGAACAAAGAAATAGTCTGACACAGGCTGCAGCAGGGCTCTGTCACTACCAGGGATTGAAAAGTGGACTATTTTGCACAGCTTTAGAGCACAGAGTGCCATCATGGAATTCAGGAAGTCAGTTTTCTTTTCTTTCTTTTTTGTTTTTGGTGGAACTGGGGATTGAACTCAGGCCCTTGTGCTTGCCAGGGAAGTGCATATTCTACTGAGCCATCTCCCCGGTGCCAGGAAGTCAGTTTTCTACATCCCAGATGAACCAAACAATCCAATACCCACAAGCTGGAATATGCTCTGTGTTTTAATTTATGTGTTGGTTCTTTATAGAAGGTTTTAATCCACATAAATTCCATTTTAGGGTAAAAGAGTTTGTGGTACAGTTCCACAATTCTCAATTTATCAAATTTTAAATAAAAATAAAGGGTTGGTGAGATAGCTCAGTGATTGCAAGTGCCTGCTTAGGCAAGCACAGTGACAGGGACCACAGTTTGATCCCCAGTACCACATGCTGTGCCAGCCCTACCCCCAGGGCAGGCTGAGCTGGTCACAAAAATAAATTAAAATAAAAAATGTCTCCAAACATTTAAGTAGGTTTGTATCTTTTTCCTTTGAATGATATTGATGGGGTAGATCTGAGACGGGAACAAAATATTGCAGGATTCCTTATCCTGTGCATTATTTTTTCAGGTTGCACCTAAGAAGAATTTATTTGTAAGAACCTCTGCATGAAAAAATGGAACTGAAGGCTTAAGCAGAACTACAGTAGGGGTCGGGGAGATGGCTCAGTAGAATAAGCACTTGAGGGCCTTATAATAAGAATAAGAAATAAGAAACAAGGGCCTGAGTAGAGTAAGCGCTTGAGGGCCTTATAATAAGAATAAGAATAAGAAACAAGGGCCTGAGTTCAATCCCCAGTTCTGAAAAAAAAAAAAAAAAAAAAGAACTGCAGTGCTTTTAAAAATTAAAAATGCGTTATTTTATGATAACAATATAGAATAGGTTCAACATGACAAAGAAAAGGTATTCCTAATCCCACTAGCCAACAATAATTATCTTTAACTCAGCAATTTGCTAAATGAATCCAGGATACGGAGAAGTAGAAGGCTGAATTGCCTTTATTAACATTTTTCACTGCTGAGAAAATGATTTTGCAATTATATTTTAACAGCTAAATACCTACTTCACATATATTACTATTCTGTGAGCAAAGTATTACTTTTTTTTTTCAAAGTATTACTTTTTTAAAAAGTCAGAAGATAGCTAGTTGCAAGTCATTCTAGACAAAACAAATGCTACATGCAGTCACAGAAATAACATGTTTTGACAGAGATGTACAAGGAAGGGGTGATCCCAGAATCCTGATTCTTCAGCACGAATACATCCAAACATCTCCATATGTACGTGACCTCTGGGTGTTCAAGGCCTCAAAGTTAAGGATCATCAGTGTCTAATTCTCATCAACCTAAAAATGACTGAAAAAAATTATGCGAACTACAGCCTAACCCTTAACCCAGAAAACTTGTCCCCATGTCTTGTAGAGATGGCTGATGTCACAATTCTATTAGAACGTTCCCAATGTGACTAATGGAGGAAAGTGGTCACAAGGGGAAGATAACAAGCAGATAGGGAATCCCACCCAGCTCTACCCATGGCAAAGCCTTGGTTCTCTCTAAACTTAGGGGCTTGGCTTACATTAAATTTATTACAGATCTCTCCCTGTACTACACCCTGTGTTCTTATGTCATTTTCATGTATGTCATTATACAATCAAGCTAGAAGGCTAAAGTTTCTTTGAGGGAAATATTAGCCACATAGCACCTAAGAAATATTAGGAGGTTTTTATCTTGCTTCTCATAGAGCTTAGGATGATACAGGCTCTCAGCAGAGAATCTAAAAATAATTGATGTTTACTTCTTATTACTTTTTGGGTTTTTGCAAAACAAAAGTAATATCAAGGCAGTAAATCTTTCTAAAAATATTAACTATATCACCCAGCTATTTAGTACTCAAAGCTCTACAATGGCCATTGGTATTAATGCTCTCATTTAGTAGTGATGTTAATCAGGGGAATAGTTTTCCTAACCAGATAGAAGGTAAAAATATTCTTCCTGGTCATGCTGTAAAAAGCAGTAAACCTGGGCAAGAAGTGATCTCCTTTCAAGACACTATGAAATTCAAGGATGTAAAAAGACCATAAGTGAAAAATAAACCCAACCCTCTCCCCATCAATAACACATATATATCCTTCAAAAACTACCATTAACAGAAAACATCTCAGAGAACAGATGACAGTTTTAGAAACTGGGTCAATTTGCTTCTGGACAGCAACCAGAAAGACTGGCCTTGTTCTCTCAAGTATTTTCCACGTCCTTTGAAACAGAGAAAACCTGGCTGTCTTGCAGCAAATCCAGTTTATGAAAAAGCACAGTGAGATATTCAGGTCAAAAACAGACTGCATCTTAAATATAAAACGATAAGGAAAAAGATAGCTGAGTAGAATTCAGGGGTTTTCTTTTCATTCTATTTTTTAACCTTTTTAATCTTTTAAGAAGTTAGAGTCTCCTGGTAATGAACAAAAAGAAAGGGAGGACAGATGCCTCTGAAAGAAATCTACTCAGCTGACCCTAACAGGGCTTGTGCAGTGAACACAAAAGCTTAGGGTTAATAGTGGGCATGTACAGGTAAATGAAGTGTGATCCATCTTTAGAGGTGAGCAGAAATGTAGGTAAAGGAGGCAGGCAGAGAAGGGTAAGTATAAGGAGAGAGGGGGGCAGGGAATGTAGCTCAGTTGAAGAGCACATACTTAGCGTCCATGAGCTCCTGGGTTCAACTGTCAGTGTGTGCTCATGTGTGCACATGCATGTGTGTGCACAGACACACTCATACACACGAAGAGTAAAAGAAATGAAAAGATCAGGGACAGGAAGAAAGTCGGGTGGGTAAACACCTACAGACAGCTTTGGTGACATAGCCAGGCACCTCTCAGTAGCCAGGTCTTTGTTATAACAGGGACCAGAGATTCAGGCTTCTGGTGACAATTCCACATCCTATGGCACATTTAGAGTTATACACTTCCATGATGTGGGTGTCAGCAAATGGGAGAAAAGAGAAGACCGGGTCTACCTGTTTTGCCACTATTTATTTACCATCAACCACCACCTACCACAGAGATGACCTCCTGGGATCTGCTAAGGTGGTTTACAGGTATGGTGAGAACAGCGTAAGCTGATTTTATTCTTTCCTCTTTATTTGAAGTGAAGCTTAAAGTGTCAAGGGCTCTTTCTTTGTGGATTATGTCTTGGTCCTTGAAAGTGCAGTTAATTCTTATTGCCAGAATGGAATATGATGACCTGGGCTTGTCTTCAACTTCAACTCCCCACTCCCTTCTGAGATGTTTATTCTAGAAGCCTTGTCTCAAAGCTGGGTAGCTCAGACACTCTGAAGGGATACAGGCCATCAAGAATAAGTAGGTCATGCTTCGCAATGTGAAAGGTTCCACCGGCTTTTCAAGCACATGCACCCTGAGGCCAGTCTGGAACTGGCCTTGTCCCTCCTTTTCCTAGCACCACAGACAGCAGTGTACCCAGAGGCCTGGTGCATGAAGACCCATGACAGACCCAAGAGCTTGTAGGGAAGGAACAGTGCAGTAACAAAGATAAGCAAGCTTTGGACAGATAAGGGCAGAGAAGACTTTAGACGAAAACACAAAATTCTAGAACTTAGGTACTTGGGCAATCAGCTGAACAGGTGAGAAAGTATCCCTAGTTTCCTCCTCCTGTCTTTATGATGAGAGGAACCAGGCTCTTGATTATGCACAGGTAGCAGAAATTGAGTCCTGACAAGCTTCAATGGGAATCCTTGTCCAAGATTAAGTAATTATAAGGCCCTTTTATTACAGAAAGTCCAATCTCTGCCTTCTACAATGAGGTGCTAGGAGTAATAACCCAAGGCAAAGGAACAAGCACCAGTCCCCGCTCCCCACCCCTACTCCTTCCTTCCGGAGTGAAGGCAGAGGTGCCCGAGGAGCTGCTCCCAGGTCCTGCTCCCTCCTCCACGTTACGCATCAGATGTGTGGCTCTGGTTCTTGATGTCCTCTGTGTCATCATGGCCACACTGAGGCAGCAAACACCCCTAGCATACTTTTTCCCCAAGAGACTGGCAGTGTTGGCCATACGCCATACTCCTCTGTGCCTACTCTCACTGCACAGCAAGGAAGACACGCATCCTAAGCAGACGGATAAAAGCACCTGCCATCATCATCAGCCAAAGGCCTTCCTCCCTGAGGATGGGGGAGGTGGTCTGAAAATTAATACTGTGAATTTTAAGTAGTACAGAAGTTAGAGCTCAATAG